TTGAATCTATGCCACGAAGAATTGAGGCAGTTCTGAAGGCAAAAGGGTGTCCAACCCGTTACTAGCATGGTGTACCTAATAAAGTGGCCGGTGAGTGTAGATGCCTGTAAACATTAAGGTACTGGTAGACATAAGTACCAGGGAACATTTGTACCAGTAAATGTGGGTACCAGTTATCATAGGTACCAGTAAAAGTAGGTATCGGTGAACATAAGCACCTTGAAAGATAGGTACTGGCTGTATAGGTACTGGTGCCGATAAACATACAGTAGGTACAGGGGAACATAGATGCCTGTAAACTTAGAGGTGCTGGTGAACATAGGTACCAGGGAACTTAAGTACCGGGAAACATAGGTACCAGTTATCATAGGTACCAGTAAATGTAAATATAGATTATCATAGGTACCAGTAAACATAAGTACTGGGGAACATACTGGGCTGGTGATCTACAGTATATGCGAAGGATTCCCCACCCAAAAAGAGAAAACAAAACGTTTCCTTGTCAGGGTTGGGTACCCGTTGCCACCTGCCACAGTTTAAAGCCTGGTGTTCGTGCAGTCTCTTTAATTATACGCCTAATCTGGGAGGATGTTTACCAACAGGAAGCCTCTCCTCCCTACCTCCTCTGGCATTTCTCTGCCCTTTTTCCTGAGAAGAACCGGCCTCGTTTGGCTGCAGAGATCTCTCAAAACCACTGTCCTCGCTCCGTACATCAACAATTTTGACCACATGTTCAAAATGTCGAAATAACTGTTGCTAAACAACGTGCTGAACTGAACAAAATGTTTGGGTAAATTTTTGAGTAATTTGTTGTTTTATTGGTTATCTATTATAAATGTCTGGGTACTTTTAATAACTCAGTTGCTGAGTTAAAGTAATTGGGTCATTGGTTGGCTTTTACCAAAAAGTAATCAGTTTTGATCTTTATTATGCAATGATTATTTTTTGTGAGAAATACCATTTACAAAAAGAACAGCTGGAAAACAATTTGGAAATAACACTAATAAGGTTTAAATCACTCGCTGCAGTTATTAAAACAGAATTTTATCAGGTCCTTTATTGCCTTGTAGTGATGGAAACATGACACTTTCATCATTTTCTCTCACAAACAAACAAACAAACAAAAAAAAAACAGCTGAAATGAAGACAATGGAGGCTTGTGGCTGCTGTCTGCTCCTGCTTGTCATTTCAATTACAGACCCTATTTGTCTCCATTAAAGCAACAATTCTACTTTGTTCAGTCTTCATTGATGTTTAAAAAAACGATCAGTCGACGACCTGCTCGTTGTTTCGAACAGACTTTGATCCGTCCGATAGATGTTGAATTGTTGCGTACAGAGGTAATGGATTTTTATCAGCATCTGTTGTAACAATAAACATATGTAGGCAGTATGTGCCGATGCAGCTGATTTAAAATGTACAATATTATGAAAAATATTTGTGGCTTGCTATAGAAAAAACATTCAGCAATACAGGAAGCTATGGGAGAGCATTGCATTCACCAAATAAAAATAAATTAGACTCCTGATCTCATAATTACGAGATCAGGATCTCATAATTATGAGATTAAATCTCATATTTATGAGACAAGATGTCATATTTGCAAGATCCTGATCTCATAATTATGAGAAGGTCTCATAATTACGAGATTCTGAACTCATAATTACGAGATAAGATCTCATAATTACGAGATAAGATGTGATAATTACAAGTAAAGATCTCATAATTATGAGACGAGATGGCATATTTACAAGATCCTGATCTCATAATTATGAGAAAAGATCCCATAATTACGAGAAAAGATCTCATAATTACGAGAAAAGGTTTCATAATTATGAGAAAAGATCTCATAATTATGAGAAAAGATCTCATTTTTACGAGATAAGATGTCATAATTACGAGATAAGATCTCATAATTACGAGATAAGATGTGATAATTACAAGTAAAGATCTCATAATTATAAGACGAGATGTCCTATTTACAAGATCCTGATCTCATAATAATGAAAAAAAATCTCATAATTATGAGAAAAGATCTCATAATTACGAGATAAAATCTCATAATTATGAGATAAGGTGTGATAATTACAAGTAAAGATCTCATAATTATGAGACGAGATGTCATAATTACGAGATTCTGATCTCATAATTTTGAGAAAAGTTAAGGAGAGTCATCAACACCAATGGTTCCCAACCTTTTTAGACTTGTGTATCCCCTGAGCTATTTTGTCATACCACTAGTACCCCATCAAATGTATTGATGATTTTCCAAAACTATAATGTACAACAACTAATTACTAAATGAAAATTGTTCGTTTAATCCTCCTAACTTGAACATTTAATTCTCAGGCATTTTTTTCTTTTCAACTCAAATCAAACATAAACATAAATACGTTGCCTTGAAAGTGAATAAGTAATTAAATAAATAAACCTGGTAATGGCAGGTACAGGAAGCGGCAGCATCCAAAATACATTGTTTTGTCCAAAACACCTCAGAAACTCGCCCAAATGAAGCAAATTCTGCGAGATTCTGCATTTCTTACTGGATTCTATTTTGTTTTGTCAATTCCGTGATTTTGTCTGCAATTTCCCCATTGCGAAAATCTATTTAAATATTTTTAAACACCTGGGAAATTTTTCCACGTACCCTCTGTACTATGCTCGGTTGGGAATCACTGATCTACACTACAGGAAAAGGAAACAATGACTGGATTTTAAATGCTTTTATTTTATTAGGTATGAGACACTGGGTAATATTGAGTTTAGTTTATGTGGATGTTATTGTGTCTGCTGGTTTGTTAATAAATCCACCTGCACCAGTCTACGGGGTTCTGTTTAATCAGCTTCGTCACAAAAGTAACACCGACACTCAACCGGTGTTGGTATTTCTGGTTTCATTCATTCATTCTGGTTTATTTTATTGGAGTTTTATGTTACAACACCATTGGATTGCATTGAGAATCCTCTAAATCCATTAAAAACTGCAACTACTTGTATCATACCCACAACCGCTTAGTTTTTTGGGCCAACCTGATTTAAAATGCTCAACACAGAAAAATAATTTTTAGAGATATTTATTTAAAAGTTGTGGGTTGCTTTGTTTTCTGCTGTGTTCCAGGAGATAAAATGAGCTTTCAGAGAAGAGTGTGTGACAGATGTGCTCATCTACTAAAAAAAAAAAACTTTTTTTTATTTGAGTTTGCACCAGTTGGTGTAACAGGTCATGTTTGTTTTAAATCAAAAGGCTCGTTAAACATCCCGCAACAGGCGGCGATGACAAAGCACCGAGCAACGAACCGATTAATGGATCGGTTGTTCGTCTGCGATTCTGAGAAGAAATCTGAAGGCAGTCGCTCGTTGTTGACACGATTGCTTGGCTTTAAGTGTTTGTGACAAGTTGTAGACTGATAAAATAGCTTCTCGTGCTGTGAGTAAAGAAACAAACAGGGTTTAAGAATGTCCCTGCGAAGAGAAGATGCATTACTGAAAGTGTTGCTCACATACTGTAGTCTGGGTGTTTTAATGCGTTCAGTCACGTCAGGTGCAGGAGATTTTTTACAAACAAGATGAATGTGTGTTTAATGTGAAACACAGCAGCTGCTTTGTTTTTGCAAAGAAAGGGGGCACCRGGATTTGAACCAGGGACCTCRTGATCTGCAGTCAAATGCTCTACCACTGAGCTARACCCCCACTGTTCATTTCATAAGTTAAAGGTAAATACACACCTTCAGTCTGACTCCACAGTGTTTATTCTTCACCAGCTGCTTAAATAATCAGCCTCCTGATTATCAACAAATATGATTAGTCTGTGTTGTGAAACCATGGTGACGTGGGCCCAACCCCAGATTACGAGGTCTCGGTTTGCATCAAGAAATAACAAGTAAAAGAGGTTCTTAATGAACGCTCCGGGCACATTTTCTTTGYCCGACGTCCTCTGTGGTTTGGGATGCTCGCCGCTTTTTATCTCCGGCTCAATCAGGCCCTCTGATCACGTTCAGAAACCTCCGGTCCAAARGCCACGGACCGGCTCCAGTAACATGGTTTTCTAGGATTAAGCTGTCAGGATGGTGTTGTGGAACAGGGTGGTTGTTTAACGTGTTTTGTTCTTGCTCTCCTTTCAGGGGAAGTATGCCAAGAGGAAGAGCCGGTTCAAGCGCTCGGATGGAAGCACCTCCTCTGACACCACCTCCAACAGCTTCGTCCGACAGGTAACACCTAAACCAGTCGTTTTCAGGCAAAGTCAGGCGAGATCTCTTCAAAAGTATGCAGCGCCGAGTGTAAAAAAAATGRTTCATTATTTTTAGTTCACTTTCTGAGTGTAAAACCCTATTTAAAAATGTCATACAAATTCATACATTTTGCTAATTTTTACTAAATGCTAAATCCTAAATCTAAACGTGTAAATCTAAAAATAAAAACTAAATCTTAGTTGTTGCAACTAAATGATAAAGCTTACACTTAAGAATTTCAGAATGGAACACAGCCTTTGTCGTTTGTGCTCAGCATTTGTTGTGATGTCATCATCCTGCGACAAAAGCAACTGCTAACGCTGCTAATGCTGCTAATGCTACTAACGATGGCGTTTCAATTTTAAATTCAAAATGTGTTAATTGAAAACCGTATGGATGGTACCTGTGGTACAGCAGCTTGAGGTGCAGCTTAAAGGGCAGTCTTATAGGGCAGTGTTTTTCAAAATGGAGGCCACTGGGGAGCCACAAGAGGGCCTCAGAAAGCTGGAGGGAAGATAAGAAAAAAAGTAAAAATAAAGCTAATAAATATTTTAAATCAGTATCATAAAACCAAATCTGTTTTTCAGTCGTTATTTTAAAATAGAATTTAGAATAATGTATTGAAATGATGAGATTTTACAGTCATTTTTTTCCAGTAGGAATATACTACAGCATTTAAAACATGCTAACCAAATGTAATAATTATTGAATTGTGTATGAAAAATTACATATTTTGTAGCATTGTTTGTGGGTTTACAAGGATGAGTAATGGACCAGAAGCTAATGCTCTTTGAGGGGCCGTGACATGAAAAGGTTTGGGAACCCCTGCTATTGAAAYGCGTTAGCAGCATTAACAACATTAGTAAATTAGCAACATTAGCAACATTAGCAGCATTAGCAGCGTTAATTATGCGTTTAATGCTTTTAGCGTTGTTATGTTTTGTTATTTGAAGATTATTTCTGTTTGAATTAATTTTTTTAAAGGGGCAGATGTTAATGAAAAAAATTTCTTCCTTCTGCTTCCTTTCATTTTATTTGTGTTTTGTATTATTATTTGTTGTATGTATAGCATTTGTTTTGTTTTTAAATTAAATGAATAATTTTTAATAAAAATAAATAAATAAATAAATAAATAAATAAATAAATAAATAACATTAGCAGTGTTAGCAGCCTTAGCAACATTAACAGCATAAACTGCATTAACAGCATTAACCACGTCAGGAGTGTGAGCAGTGTTAACAGCATTAGCAGCAATACCAGTGTTAGCGGCATTATCAGTGTTAGCGGCATTATCAGAGTTAACAGTTGTACCAGTGTAATTACTAATATCAGTGTTAACAGCATTAACAGTGTTAACAGCATTAGCAGTGTTAACAGCATTAGCAGTGTTAACAGCATTATAATTGTTATCATTGTTAGCAGCATTAACAGCATTATCAGCGTTAGCTGCTATATCATTGTAATTACTAATATCAGTGTTAACAGCCATATCAGTGTTGGCAGCATTAACAGTGTTATCAGTGTTAGCAGCGTTAGCAGCATTAACAGTGTTATCAGTGTTAGCAGCGAAAGCGTTTGCTTTTGTCACAGGATGATGACATCATAACAAGAGTCCTTCATGCAAAATCTGCATTTTAGTCTATAATTATGTAACCTTCAACATTTAGCCACAACATTTACATTTTATATTTATACATATTTAGTATTTTACATTTAAACGTTACATTTAAAATTTAGTGAAAATGAGCCAAATGTTATTTTTAATTAGGATTTTACACTCAGAAATGTGTTAGTGACGTTTTTTTAACATTTTATTTTACAGTAGGRGCCTCGTACAAAAGTTACACCTTGAAACAAAAATACATCTACAGCCACCGCTCTGCAGAAACTGACGGGTTTATTTTATCGGGACTGTTGGTGTTTTGTCCCCCCCCCCCCACCCCACCWCCAACGTTATTACCAAGTCAGTTTTCATCCTTGAATAAATACAATTTAGATAATCTGAGTGTCAAAAACCCTTTTATTTTCTTGTCTTCTTTCTCTCCTCACCTGAGCCGGAGAGAGCAGTGAGCGCAGCAACAAATAAAAAAAACTTGTCCTCAAAATGCCAGAACTCACATGTGTGCCCTGCTTCCACGAACGTCTTGTTCCAGACACAAAACCTGTTAATTCAGGAAGGATTTTCTAGCATTTATGTCAGTTACARCTTTAAGGTTTTTCTTTTACTGCTTTTGGACCTTTGCTAAACTAATTTGTCATCATTATATTGAAGATCTCCGCTGTAATTTTCCAGCTGCAAAAACAGATTCCCCGCCTCAGAAAACGGCACAAACCCCTGACCCAGGCGGCGTTCTGTGTCTGGACATGACATTTCTCAAAGCCATGTTGTGTCGCAGCTAAACGAGCCCCTCCTCCTCCTTTTTATTTCCACCTGACCTCTTCATTTGGGAGGGGAAATGATGTGCCCCGTGCTGTATGACATTTATACGTTTAGTAGCGGTGTTTCTGTCTCCTGTGGTTTCTAAAGGTTAGTTGTATTCTTGCCCGCACACAAACACACACACGCACACACACACACATGCTGTCCTTCGCCGCCGCCTTGTCCTTCGTTACTCAAAGTGGAGGAAAACCACGTGCTTCCAGTAATCAGGATTTATAACCTCTCACACTGTAAGGACCACATTACGAGCAGTAAGAATGAAACACGCGCCCGTGCTTCAGGGTTTTGCAGAACAACGCCGGCCGTGCTCGGGGTTTTGTGCGGCGTGTTCCTCCACACGAGCGATCCCTGAGATCATCTAGKAATTAAAAGCAAAAAKCGGCGTTTGAAGGTTCCTTATAGGTTTCTGTAAATATAGCCTGCACTAACTGAAGGCACAGCCCTGTATGGGCTTTACAGTCTCACGCACGCCCACGCAAGCGCACACTCGCTCCCTGCACACACACACACACACACACACACACACACACACACAAATGCACAAGAGCCACAATCAACCAACGGCAGAGCCGGCTGGTACACTCGGCCTGGTTTCCATGGCTACTGAATCTTCCCCCTGTGTGCGAGCGCAGTGGGATGGAGAGACAAAGCAGAGGATGTTTCGACGGGTTTGCCTGTTCTGGTGTGGGTGGGTGCGGCCCACAGCTCTGTTCCTCGTTAGTTTGTGTGTCAAGTTTGACCAAAAAGCGCACATTGTCTGCATGTTAAATAAACAGATAAACAAGCAAACGAAAGTGTCTGTTTGACTGAAGAAACAGGTTTATTGTGTTGCTGGAGCTGGAATCAGAGAGGCTGGTGGTGGAAAACAACAGTTCAGATTTCATTTTAAAGTCATCTGGTCAGTAAGTACTCATTAACCACTCTCTGGAGCTGTTTACCCCAATCAGGCGCTATGGAGCAAAATTAGAGACATAAAGTTTGTTAAAAAAAGACATATTGGGAAAATATATATATTTAAACTGAAAACTATTTTGTTACTGAATAAAAAATATTTGAAACTGATTTTAAAAGATTCAAAACTACTTGTAGCATATAAAAAGTATGGCATGTTGTTGCATCATACTGTATAATAATTTGTATGGCAGGCCATTGTATCATACTGTATAAAAATNCATGTTGTTGCATCATACTGTATAATAATTTGTATGGCAGGCCATTGTATCATACTGTATAAAAATAAGAATGGCWTGCAGTTGTATCATATAATMACAARGTRTGGCATGCCATTGTATCATATAATGAACACTGTATGACAGGCTGCTGCAGCATATAATTTAAAAATATGGCATGCTGTTGATCATATAATTAACAAMGTATGGCAGGTTATTGCATCATWATTAATAATGTATAGCAAGCCATTGTATCATATCATTTACATATATGACAGGTTGTTGATTAATATAGTTTAAAAATATGGCAGGTCATTTTATCATATAATTAAAGTAAGGCCGGCCGTTGTACCATATAACAAGGTATTGCATACCATTGTATCATATAATGAGCATTGTATGACAGGCGGCTAAATGTGGCATGCCATTGATCATATAATTAACAATGTATGGCAGGCCATTGTGTGATAGTAAAAAAGTAGCAGGTCATTGTATCATAATTAACAAATTAACAACATATGGTGGGTCATTTTATGATATAATTAAAAAATATGTCAGGTTGTTTTATCATATAATTAACTAGTGTGGCAGGCTGTTCTATCATTTATTTAAAAGTATGGCTGGCTGTTGTAATATACTTTTCAGTTAAATTTTGTGTTTGTTTCACAATTATTTTTCAGTGTATAATAATTTGTTTTCAGTTTCAAAAGTTCTTTCAGTTTAAGGGAGTGGTCCTTCAGGCAAAACAAAGGCCAGCATTTTCCTGTCCTGCAGATGAGCCGGTCCAGACTGAGTCAGAAACCCAGTAAACGGTCTGAAAAGTGATGATCGCTGTGAGCAGTCTGCATGCAGACACCTTATAGTTCCTCATCTCTCCCTGTCCTCGTTTTCTGCTCTTTAATAAAGGCCTAACAGTCTAAACAGACACCGAATGAATACTGGGAGGTGTGGTTTTTGGAACTGTTTAGAGCCTTCGTGACGAGAATTATGGAAATTAAAGACAGAGCTCTGTATTCTACGGACGTTATTCCATTTATGAAAGTTGTTTAGGGTTTGGATTCAGGCTCTAACAGGTCCAGAACCTTCTGCTGGTTCTGTTACCACCACTGTGATCCGTCATGTCCACACAGCTGATTGTGTCGTCGCCACAAACACAGGGCAGGCAGAGGCAGACGGGCAGAAAGAAAGCTTGTGCTTTGTATCGCCCTCTAGTGGACAGAGTAAATCCAGGTGCCTTCTTTTGGGCCTTTTAGTGTCCTGCTCTTGTACAATTATCTTAATTTAAAGTGCCTGTSRCTATCCTTCAAATACAAAAAGTGAAAGAAAACATCTTCATATTTAGGAAAATTGGCATAAAACACATGATTTAACCCATTTTGTCACATAACTGGCATATTTTCCTTTGAATWTGGCTCAGCTAAAGTGAAACAGGAAGTGACATCGAAGGGGAATTCTTTAAGAATAAAACTCCATGGTTTTTGTTTATTAAAACAATATTATTTGAACCCTGACTTTTCTTCATCTTTCTCTTATAGGGACTAAAATTATCTAAAGAAACATCAGAACATCGGTCTGTGTTGCTAGCTGTTGTAGCAACGCTCTGTTTACATGCAGACATTCCCCTTTGACATCACTTCCTGTTACTTCACATGCAAACATCTCAACAACCGTTCAGCTCAGTGGTGTGAAATTGCTTTTGAAATATGTTATCCATGTTGTCTTTCCAAAAGTGCAATCATATTTATCACAAAAAAATTGATGTCACAGGCACTTTAATGTTTATATATCTGTAGCTGGCACTGAGGAGTTTAAAATYAGAGATTATGAGTTTTCAACCTTGAAAAGCTCAACTAAAGCCAGTTGCCTGCATTTTACAACAGGTTGCTCCACGTCTTGTTTCAGTTTAATCCGGAGCACAAGCAGCGGGGTGTTCTGGAGAACGAGATCAGAGCAGAAGCTGTGGAGGAATGGGGCATAAAGAGAGAGAGAGAGAGTGGGGGGGCTTTCCTGGGTACTGCCCAGTTCTGTCACACGTCAGCTGGGAGCGTTGAATGGCTGACGGCTGCATACCAAAACCTCCTTCTGGGTCTGAGCCTGTCCACGTCCCTGTTTCTGTCCGGCCAGGGCTAAATATATTTACCCAGATTGCAAATGTAGCATAAGTCCTGCAACCCGACCCCCCCACCC